TGATTCGACCACTTCCTGATTATACAAAAATATTTTATTGAAATCATTTTTAAGTCGTATTAACGGAACAAAAAATCCATACATAGATTACACTACTATTAAAAACAATTAAATTGTTCAATACTTTTCAGTACTTGTATGTAGCAAAATAACAAGAACAAATTATGCAAAATAATTATTCAAAAGTAAAGTAAAGAAAATATTTATAAATGAGAGTGTTTAGTCTGAAATGCGTAGGTAAATGCAAAAACAGCTCGAAAAAAGTGCATTAATGAAAAGGAAACTAGGGAGGAAGTTGTTCAAGGTAAAAAAAAAAGAAGCAGCGTAAAAAGAAATCACATGAAATTTGTGAATCTGATTGTATAATATTATTTTTATTTTTGCAAAACACAGAACGGATATGTGTGAAGGAAAATTAAGGAGGATGTATTTATTCATTTTATGATTAACTAGCATCAAAGTCCTTAAAGGCAAAGACAAATTTGCCTTATGAAAAAAAAAATTCGTTTTAGTCACGTGACTGTACGATTTGAATTCCTATATATTTATCAAACTGGGAAATCTTTTATTATACTTATTATCCTTATTATATAAATATAATGTAAATAATCTTAATTGCTAAATTCACTATCAGTTGCTGTAGTGAATAAAATTTAATAATGACATGCCAGTTATTTTTCATACAATATTTTATAGGCACTCACAATTTTGTTTTATTTAATAAAATTGGATCGATAAATAAAACAATTTGTATTATTTTTGTAACGAATTTTGTTAGATATAAGCGGCAAAAAAATTAAATTTCGACTTTTACAATCGTGAACATAATTCTGATTTTAAAATATATATCTAAAGTATGTATAAAAATTATTATTTTCATATAATATTATATGAGAAATATTATATTATATTATATATAATATTACGAATATATTAATTAAGAAATAAGGCTAAAATATTGTATAATAAATATTGCTTGATAATATTTTAATTATCTTTAAATCTTTAAATTATATTTAAATTGAAATGATAATTGAAACTTTTAATTGGAAATCATATAATAAATATGTACAATCGAAATCGAAGGATATAGATAATCGTAATAAATAAACTTGTTAATCGGATAATTTTAGAAATTTGATACCTGTGCATTTATCGTCTTGAGCATCTAAGAAAATCTTGAAAATATAAATAAATGCAATCATACAATAGTCTATGTTGAAAAATGATAGAAAGTTGAGAAAATTTTTCCTAAAATATAAGTTTAATTATCAAATTAATCTGCTCAATGAAACAGAGTAAAAACTGAAATTTAATTTTACGAATACACCTGCTGCGTCTATTAAGCCTTCGACTGCATTCATAGTACAACTTATTTGTAATGTAAATTTTCTAATATAAACATTGAATATTCCAAATATTACCCTTTACAATTTTACGCTTTCAAAATATAAATAAGACTAAATGTTATCTCGACATCAATGATCAATTAATTACCCATAAGCATTGAATTAAAATTAAAATTAATTGAACACGTTAAATTCGACTTAAACTAACTTTAGTTACTTAACTACACAAATTATCTTTATATAGTTATTGAATACAATGAAATTGAATTCCATAATTATTACAATTCCCTAGTGCATTCTCATTTAACACTTATTAGCTTTTAGTTTCTCTAACAATTTCGTAAAAGTAATTTCTTTATTACCAAAAATACAGAATTATGAGTTTTCTTGATTTTACATAAAAATGAACAATTCGAATTTTATAAGCTATTGTTAGTATTATCTAAAAAAAAATTTAAATATCTATGTTTTTATTCCAAATAAAAATGCACATTTACTAATCTATTTGTTAGCAAAAATTCTCTAAAAGTATTTATTTTAAATCAAAATTATTAAAAAAACATTCAAGATTTTTTTATAAAAATTGAAATAAGATTCAAAGATATTAACAATTGAGTATAAATTTGCAATTAGTATTAAAACATAATAATATATTACATTATATATTTTTTATATAATTGCGATAATCAAATACAATAATATAGGATTTCGTTGCACCTATATAAAAATTAAAAAATTTAAAAACTTTAAATTATATTTAGTAACTATTACTATTAAAAATCATATTTTAATTCTCTATTAAATAAGAAATACGAATGAATATTAACAAAAAGGTGATAATGTATACCACAATGAATAATATTATGTATAAATCATTATTATTTTAAACAATATTTATCAATAGTATTATATACATATAACTATAAATCTATGAAAAGATCTTTTCAATATAAAAACTTTCGATAATATTTATAATTCAGCAAAATTAAAGCAGATATTTTCATTTAAATTTTTGAAAATTCAATATTATCCAATCCAACTAATTTAATAAATCAAATTGTAACAATAATATTGATATTGATTATTATATCATTTGGTATATAAATCATTATAATACTGTAGAAATGCAATATAAATGAAATTAAAATTTACAACTTGATTTGTAAATTTTAAATATTTTTCATCTTATGATATCATCTTAACTATTGGAATTTTTGTTGGTTTTTTACTATCAGCATATTAGCACTAAGCAGAGTGAGATTTTATATATACAGATTTAATAATATCAATTAAATAAAATATTATTAACTGACAAGCTTCTGTAGTAACTATAAAGTAGGGAAAACATCTCCAAAAATACTATTTGCCAAGAATTACAGATTTTTCTGCTTTAAAATATCGACAATTTTTAAAATAAATCAGTAAAATGAATATGCCTAATGCGAAAAGAAAATGTCAAAATATATTGAATATGCATTTCATATTCACATTCATAAAAAATATGCATTTCAAATAATATGAATTTCGAAAAACTAATAATTAAATATAATAATCATGCGTTACGTTATAATTTTCTTTGAAAGTTAAGTTTTCTTCGCAAAAATAAATATCTTCAAAATAATAATTTATTATATAGATATAATGTGTTATAATTTGTTATTATAGTAATATTAATGCAAGGCATTACATGATAATTTAGAATATAATATAAGATAATAAAGAGTAAATTTAAAAAGTCGAAATCACTTCAGCCGATTTCATTCCTTGACAATATTACAACTTTTATTCACACAACCTTGCGTAAGTAACACCCAGGTGAGAACAACGTCTTTTACAAATCAGGATAAAGCATATTACGCAGTCTTTTGCTTATATGGGCATATTTTATCTTGTATGGTGTTTAAAATCAAAAAAATACAAATAAAAGGTAAAAATAATTATTTACACCTTAATCGCATTACCGTGTTATGATGTATTGTAGAAAAAGAAATAGAGAGCAAGAAAGGAAGGCCAATGAAGAGAAAAGAAAATTTATATTTGTGATTTACATTCCATAAATTTTCTATTTTCACATCTTTCATTCAATGACATATTAATCAAGTAGTAAAGCGTTTAGCTATTCGATCGAATATTGTTCTTATATAATATTTGGGTAATTTGTTCATTTACATCGTCTATTTAAAACTTTCTATTTAATTGCCAAGGTATTATATAAATTATTTTACTTACTTTGTTATTGTAATTGTCATTTACAACCATTTCGATGGATTGATTTTTTTAATAACACTCCACAGCTCCTTTATTAATATAATTTCTAATTAATAAAATTTCTTTCAAAATACAAAACTTAATTCAACATAAACATTCCTTGACATTTAGTAGAAAATATAACGATAAATTAAGGTAAAATACAAGTATACTCGTATGCAGATTATAATTCGTAAAAGCATACAAAGTTCCAAGTAAAACTTATAAATTAATCTTTTCGAATTAGGTGACCAACTCGAGTTCGAATGATTAACCGTAAAAAATCGAACAGCTTCTACTGTGGAATTGAAATTGAATGAAAATAGTATTAAGTCAGGCAGTAGTTTAAAGAAAAAAGAAACTTCACGGAACGTCCTAATTAAACCTAAATGCACGCAAAGCATAGTTAATATAAATTGCGGGTAACGAGCAGTAATATACGTACACGCGTAAACGAACTAATATTTAATCCTTTAATAATAATAGCCATATGCACGGCACATTGAGACGATATTATAACGTAATAAATTCACTGTTCCGACCAATGACGCGGGTTATTTTGAGGAGAAAGGGTTACACTTATCCTCTTGTGACGTATGAATTTGACTTGTTTTATCCATAAATATATCCTTGCATTATAAATTGTTGGACCACGCAAAGATTAGCATATACCAATGTATGGCAACTTTAACGTAGCTTTTCTTTATTCCTTCCGATACTTATTCCCAAATACACTTTAACTTATTTTGTAGTTTAAGTTCAATCGTAAAGAATTACGATACACGCAAACTTCGGCATTCACGCAAACTCCTTGCATTTCAACTCCTACAAGAAATTTATCCATTTTTCAGTAGTTGGCTATTGCAAATATTAATATCCTGCTGTTGTAGTAAGCTATTAACATGTCAGCGATCTACTTTGGCAAAATTACAAAATACACGCCCGTCTTTCTTGCCTCCATAATAACATCAAAGCATTTTCTGTAAGCATCGAGAATTCCATCATCAAATGCAATAACTTTTTCATCCAAATAAAAAAATACTAATAATAATAAATACACATTAATATTGCTTAGTCAAATATATGTTTAAATACTTGCGGAGGTGATTGGTTATTATTTTAGACGAATCATTACAGTATCTCCAATTTTAATTTCATTATCATTGCTTATAATTTCGTTTAAATGTTTTATAATAATTACAAGGTATATATAGGTATATAATTTTATGATAAAATTCATCGTAATTTTTGGCAATAAAAGGAATTACTATTTATTATAGTGTATTATTATAGTATATTTATTATACTATTACTTATAGTGTAAATTTGTGAAAAGTTCTCGATATCGTAATACATCCTATAAAAACAAAATCTTAATTTTCTGTTTATCTTTGCGTGTTATAGACGGCAACAAAAGTTGAAACACATTCATGCAGACATGCAATGAAACCTGCCAACAAAGAGAAGAATCAGAATCAAAAATGTATTCCATGTAAGTATAATGAGAAATATCAAAATATAGAGTAAAGTAAAATATTATAAAATATACCGAATTCCACAAAAATTATTACATACAAGTATGAATTAAATTTTAAGATTTTACATATACAATATTATATATAATGTTTAATATGTGTGTGTGTGTGTGTGTGTGTGTGTGTGTATATATATATATACACACACATATATAATTATACCATATAATTATATAAAACTATATAACCATATATATGTATAAATCAATTATTTTCTTAATTTATATGAAATTAAATAGTTGCTCATATCAATCAACATCTACATAATTCATAGATTAAGCGAATATTGTAAGAATTGTTCAGTGTATTCAAATTGTCTATTAAAAATTAAAATTAAAAATATATTGCATTAAACGTAATAAATTTGTATCAATTAGAAAAGTTATTATATTCAATCGACAGATAATTACTAAATGAAATACTAAATAAGTTTTCAGAGGATAATATATTTTTAAAATACAAGTACAAAAATTGATGAAAATTATATAATAATAAAATTGCAATAACAAATTATATAAAATAATAGAAATAAATCAAAAATTTAATATATTAAATGAGATGATGTGTTAAAGAATGTGAATGAAAAGAAAAGAATAGAAATGACTATAAATAGGAGTATAAAGATGCAAAAATACATAAACTTTTTTTACAAAAAGTGAATTGTAAAATGAGATTTTAATGAATGATAGGAAATTATATTGAGAAATTTCATATAAAATATTTCATAATCCTAAATTGCATAAGTAAGACATAATTAAATTTATTAATTGTTTGCTAGATAACTAAAAATAAAGTTTTGTACTATTTAATTCGATGCTATTATAAGTTATTAATGAGAATCTTTGTACTTGTATAATTTCAATTAATTTTAATTGTTATTAATAAAGTTTTGATTAACAAAATTATAATTATAAAAATGAAAATATTATTTAAAAAATTATTATATTAAATCAACATATATAAATTTTCAGTTTGTGTAATTCATATACTTACCCGACTTATTATAAATTAAATATCCAAAATTATAGCTTCGGTAATATATCTTGTAATACACACATATATATATATATATATATATATATATATATTTTTTTTTTTTTTTTTTTTTTGACCTCTTCGTATTCGCGTATAATATTTTTTACACATTTATGTATGAAAATAAGGAAAGAGAAGATTTCAATGTTACGTAGTGATGTGCGTTGGATTATTCACAAATAGCCAGAAGCCTAGTGAATTTTTTATGATCTCTTGGGCCGACAGTAGCGTTCTTTTTCAATTTTCCATCCATATTTTTTAATTCAACAATAAATAGAAGTTTCGCACTATTTTCTATTTTCCGGGTACACACTTTATGCTCTTTCCTTATCACTGATGTACACTTCAAATTTAAAAGCGAGTTGTTTTACGATAGATTAGACATTCGTGTAATGAGAATGGCTGTTTCTACACTTACGTTGTTATGATTTATAATATAATCATCTTATTTTCAAAGAATTGGCCATCAAAATGTATTATAGGACGGTAAGAAAATTTTTCCATTTTTTAAATACATTTTCCACGCGCTAATAAGTGATGGTGAAAACAGTATTTAATTTAAAAATAGACCAAGTACAACTTGAAACATTTTATAAGATCCCCTTCAATCTATTCAACAGATCAATATTTCACAAATTGAATGTAGCGCCATCTTTCCTTGTTATCAAAGACTCGAATTTATTGTAATATGTTATACAGCACAAGCTTATTCCGCTACTTATGACGTTACTTTCAAATGAAAGAGCTCTGTGAAAAAATATTCAGAGCCGCATGAGGAGGTAATATTTCTGATTCATTGCGTAAAAGATATTAAACGACTATTTAATCTGTACCATCGCTCAAAAAGTGCACAAAATATTCTAAACTCCCCTGAAATGTCCATCTGTGTAATATAGCAGCACTTCTTCGAGCGTAAGGGGCAATTTTTTTTCATTATTTTTTTTTTTTTTTTTTTTTTTTTTTTTTATTTGTTCTTATCCTTTTACCGACGATTCAACTCTTATTAATCTTATCTCTTTTATAATATTCATTTTATATATAAGAGGCTTGTGACGATAACAATTGATAAAAGTGCCTTTAGAGGAGTAGCGCCACGGACAATTGTAAATCGAAATTGAAAAGAAATGGAGTAGTTACAAACTGATAATCTACGTCATTTATTAATACATAATTCACAAAAATATTTTAAAGGTTCTCATGATTATTTTACATTCACTCGATTCCGAATTCCAAGGTGAAAAATTATGTAATTCACAAGATAAACAAGAATAAAAACACTGTTAATATTATTCTACCCGTCAAAAATTAAAACAAATTAAATTATCATCAAAATTTATGAATGAATCATAAAAAATTTTAATTACGAAATTTATAATGTACTTCGTTATTCTTTACAAATTATATGACTAATCCATAAGTCTTGTTTTATTTATCTTCAATAATAGAATGAATTCTTTATACGATTTAACATTATTCTGAAACTTACAGTTTTTTTGGATATATATATATATATATATATATATATACCAATTCTTTGTAATAACGTAAAATTAAAAGTAATAATAATAAAATAATTTGTATTTTCTCTATTTTACAATAAACAAATAAGAAGAATTATTTTTGTTGTGATAATAATTATTTAATATTTGACTATTTTAATCGATTGAATTCTTTCTTCGTTATATTTAGATTATCATGAGCTTATGAACATATGCTCTATGCAACTTCAAAAATTTTAATACAACATGCACTGGATTAGATATCGAATATAATTTTAAAACAATGCACACATACATACAGATCTTTTTGTACTGACCTATAATTTGTAAAACTATTTTATTCTTTTCTTTTATTTTATTTTATTTTATTTTATTTTATTTTATATAAATTCTCAGTATAGGCAGTTACTGCATCATATAAAGCTTGTCGATTATCATTTCTACTTCCTCACACATTACTACAATGTTAAAGGCTTCTGAGTGCTATAACGGGTAACATGTACCTGAAAGTTCACGCTATAATTTAATTAGTTAAGATCTTTTAATTCTACCTTATTTTCGCTTATAATTTTTAAATTTACTAGAGTTATAAAGTAATGCAATTTTACTGCTAGATAAAAGAGAAGAGATTAAAAGTCCGATGCTCAGAAAATAATTAAATACTTATCGTAGTACTATTTTAAGCACAGGTCAAAATTTACAATTAAATGATCAAATTGTATAAATTTATTATTATTATTAATTGATTATAATGAAAATTAACGTAATTTTAAGGCAAATTATTTCAATATAAATGATTTATCATTTTTAACGGCTTAAAACAGCGTTATTTTGCTCATAAAAATTATTCTATGATATATCTGTGTACTCTACTAAATATGTTTGTGTCTGTGATTTCACATCTAGTACCCTGTATATAATAATAATATGTTTATATCTCCTTTTGCAGATGATTACAATAGAGTTGTTTTAGAAGCGATAGATAATCGACCGGATTCGGATTACGTTAATGCATCGTATGTCGATGTAAGTATAATATTATTCGTCGTAAAACCAATTATAATTAATTAATTGTTATAAATTATAGAATGTTATCTAACAATATAATAAGGGGCTAAGATAAGATCACCAAAAGTCTTTTTCCATTCCTTTTTGCAACTTATATTATTCATAAAATATACATACATTTGTTAAATATCAATAGATTCTTAAAAATAGCATTTCATTGCCGTAAACGAGATAATCAAAAGTTTAAAATTAATTATGAAAATTCTATACTATTCATTATGCTATTACTATTCCACATTAACAATATGTTGTTGATTCTTATTTTAAATAAATTTCTTTATTCTAAATTGTTATTGTATTCTAGTTAAGACAAAGTTTGCTTTTTTGCATTAAATGACATAATTTATAAGAAAAAAATATACATTTCTATTTAGAGATAATGCATCTCAATGTTTTTTTACTGCCATGTTCCATGTTCCATGTTCCAGAGCATACTAAAGCCCAATGCTTACATCGTAACTCAAGGACCCATGGAAACTACGGTGATAGAATTTTGGAGAATGGTTTGGCAAGAACGAGCCGCGTGTATTGTCATGCTTACGAAAACCTTCGATTTCATTAAGGTACGAGTTTTTCTTTTTTTAACGAATTTCAGATAACTATGAGATTGAAAAATTGGTAATGGACTGCATACATGATATTAGATGGAATATTAAAATTTTATTTTTCGAGTTTGAAATTTCTAGATACAAACAATATCAAGATGAATTACATTGGTTTATAATATATTATGAATATGTTAACAAAGTAACAATACTCTTTTAGAATTATCATTTTTTCTAACAATATTTCTATCAAACAATATATTACATATCAGATATATAACAATATATCTATATTTTTCTAACAAATAATAAAAACTAATATTTTGTAAGAAGTGAAATATTGGTGTTAATGCTGATGTTTATGAGCTTATTAAATATGTCATCTACTACAAGTTCCATAATGATTTTAAGTGGAAATAAATTTTCACTTTATGACCTTTTCATCTAGTCGTCAAAATATCATTAAATTATCTTAGCGATGTCAGTGCAACTTACCGACACTTAAAACCATTATAAAATGAAAATTTGTCGAGGCTTTCTTTTTCATAACTAATCATATATTAATATCATTCAGTCACTACGCAGTATTTCATTGTTTAATTTATAGTTAAAAACAATCAAATTAACTCAAAAATAAAAAACAAAGTTATTAACGTTATTATGCAAAAAAAAACAAAAAGCAGTAAAATTATAAAAAGAATTGAATGAACTGTCCTACGATTTCAAAAACTTCGTTAAACTATTTTACATCAGATTTAACATAAAAAGGAATAAAATATCTTATATCGAAGAATTGTCTTTCATCCAAAAAAATTGAGGGACGTGTCTTTCTACCGAATCATACTGTCTAGTGAGTTACTGAAAATTCGTTACGAACTACTTATTTATACTTTTTTCTCTCGCTTTTTCTTATATCCTTAAAGATTGACAAAGCCATATCTGCTAAATGTCATTCCAGTCCAAACTTTTCGATAGATCTATACCTTAGAGTTTTATGTATCCGAAAAATGTCATTTTATCATTCGGATGAAAATTGTAACAAAAAAGGATTACTCAATTTCATTAAATATGACTTTGGAACCCTTGCTATTGGTATATTTGATAAGTAGATGAAATATCGAAAAGTCATAAGCAGGAAACTCAAAATGGATTACAGAGCTTAAATATAAATATATATATATATATATATATATATAATAATCCCAATTTCAAGACCAATAACAAATTAAGCAAATATAAGATGATTTTCATGAAAAAGTAGTTCCATTAAATAATAATTTCACACATTATTTTATCTTGTGAAACTATACGAAAAGGTAAAGAAAATCTCCAAAATAACAAATATAAGAGTATAAGATATATTATTCCAACACTACGTCCATTGAAATGGTAGCAATTTTTTTCTAAAACGTAATAAACGTAAAATCGATGTCTTTATCGCTGCTAGTATATAATTAACTTTTAAAATATTCAGCCGCTTGCTAACATTATAATTATTCTTTTATTTATCTCCTGTTCGTGTTGACACATTTCCAGTGAGGATGAACTAATACCGATTCACTCTGGAAGGCTTAAAAGTTCATTTTCGACATAGAATCCGATATCGATCGCATCAATATCACAACGTAAAGAGACAACACACGTTGTCTTTATTACAGTATATTAATCGAGCTAAATTGAATTGAATGAAGGAGATAGATCGCACATTACGTTGATCAATTTTATGAGTTGTTTAATATAATCGATACACTATGCTAATTGCGATTATATTAGAAAATGCTCGAAAAATACTCGAAAATTCGAAAATAAATATTTTTATACAATTCTTTTATAATATACGAAAAGCTTCAAAAGTTCAATATAATCTTAATTAATGAGTGATTTGTGGGAAAATAATTTAACGTAAGTGAATTAAATTTTAATACTACCTAATTTTTATCGTAATACAACTTAAAAATTATTTTCAACAGAATTAAAAAGAAATAGCTACACTACCATGTACATTTCTATTAATTGAATTTTTCATATTTTTCATATGTATTTTAAACCACATTTTTAATTATGAACAAATATCAACTATTCTGATTTGTTTTAAATATTGTGTGTCAAAAAATTATTTTACAATTATTGTCTACTTACTATATCATAATTCTATTATAATTTAAATGAGTGAAAATAAACCCAACCTAAAAACAACGATTTTAACAATATTATTTAAAACTAAAGCTATTATTATTAGAATGTTATTATTTTTCAATAAAACAATTAATATAATTGACAACTATGAAATATTCTGCGAAATTCTCTTTGTAAGATAGTTAAAAAAATTAATGTAATATATTAAATAGATTCTATGCATACCTTTTTTTAATCAACTTATCATTATTCTTTTAATTTTTAATAATAAGAAAAATGAAATATATTAAAATGCCCATACTTGTTAATTATTAGTTGTGCATCATAATTTTTTAAACATGAAATATTATTATTTAATAATTTCTAATTTAAAAATATTTGCAACCAATAGTTACGTGAAACATTAATTAATATGAAATAGCAATTCTTTAAAAATGGAAATTTCCTTTATTTACAAAAATTTTCATGGAATTTGTAAACTTGTATCAAACAATAATTGTAAGTAATTTTTGTTTTAAATATCTTTAATAATATCTCCTAAAAGTGTTTACATTTACTTCATAAAATCTCTACTATAGTTTCCAATAACCAAGTATAATTTTCTTCGTCATTTAATCAGGTCACATTGATAAAAGTATGGAATTTCTGTAAATTTTATTACAGCTGAAATTGTAGCACGTACTGCAAAAATAATATAACATATTAAAATGAATTTTTTAATTTTTACATTTTGCACGTCTTTTCCTTAAATAGGAACGAACTTAAATAATTCGGAAAGAAATTAACTTATTTAACATTTGATGCATGACAGGTGACTAAAATATTAATAAAGAAAGAAAAAAATATACATCACAAGTAAATATTCAAAATAATAAAATTTTTTTTTTTTATTCAATTTTATAGTAGTTATAGTTATTGGCTACCTCATAAGTATAATAAAACAAGTTTATGTTGAGTCAATAATGTATTAAAATAACGAATGGTTATTTCATAAAAATCATTGAAAATGAATCTGTATAATTACTTCAATGTAACATATGGTGAAAGTGTGTATGTTTTATTAATTATATTCTTTGTGTAACCAAAGTTATTAAGAATTTATTTAGATAACTACATAAATAAAAAATAATCCATAAAACACGGACATTTTCAATTTTATTATGATTAATAATTATTATTAATGTAATTGGTATGAAATTAAAATTTAATTATTTTTTCGTTAAATTACCTGATAAATTTGTAGTAGGTTAAAAAAAATTATTCTAACGAAATTTCTGTGTTCATTATTTTTACAAAACATGTATAGTTTAAATATTTTTTTACAAATTAAAATTCATATCGAACAAAACTTTTTATTTTTTATCTTACATCTTTTTATGGTTAATGTATATAAATTAAAAATAATAATTATAAATAAGTAATTAAAGTCAATAATTTTACTAAACTTGCTAAAAAATATGTATATGTACTATAATTGTTAATTAAAATTTCAAATTCCTTAAATAAAATTATTTTAAAAATAAACAAATTAATATACAAATATTTCGCTTTCTCTTATAAATTATTATATATTATATATATATATATATATATATATATATATATATATATTTATATATTTACATACATTATCTATATGGTATAAATATAATATATAATTTATAATTATATATTTATATATTCATGTTAGTATTTCATTAAAGGAAGAACTACAGTTTAAAAGATAACCAAAAGTAAGTTTCATTTCTTTAAAAGTGCCTAAAAAAATTGTAAAATTCGCTTCTTTTTCAATTTTGTATATATTGAATGACGAAATGTATGACGAAATGTAAAAGTAATATTGAAAATTGACCAGAATAAATGAAAAAATTAAATTTATGTTTTTTTATATAAAAACGTAATTTTTAACAGTGAGTTATAGGTTCACCTTTTTACATTTTATAACAGTATTCTATGCTAAATATATATTAAAACTAAAAAACATAATAAAAAAAATATGATTTTATCTCACAACGAAGTTCAGAAATTCTATTCCAAATCTTATTATTCGTATAATTATCAAGTGATTATCAATTACCATTATAATAGTAATTAGATAAGAAAAAGAGATTTCGACAGGTCCAAAATTTTTTGAAATTATCTTTGTATGTGATCTCATTAACGAGATGTTTTAATGTATATAAATTACTACCCAATGCTACAAAATATTAAAGAAAAGACTACAACACAAAACATTTATATACTTTAAAATAAAATAGTTTTGTAAATAATCTGTTTGATAATCTTATATAATAAATATAAATGCTTAGAGCTTAGATCTATTAAATTATAGATATTTCAAGTTTTTTGCAACTTACTTAATGTAAAATAAAAATAATTTTATCTTAACTGTTAACTTGTTTCTGAACTTGTTAAATTTATGTTTCCTTAAACCTATATTGCTGAAAACTCCAGTAAATAATATAATATTCCACAAATATTATTTTGTGTAAATATAAATAAAATTACCTTAATAATTGAATTTCTAGTAATTTTTCCTTCTAATCTCAAACTTTTTAATATACAATAAATATCCTTAAAACTAAAAAATAGTGTAATTTAATTATAAATAAATGTTGATAATAATGTGTATCTTACATTAAAAGCTTTTTGCACATAAATAACTGAAAAGACATATATCAGCAAAAAATTGTTACAAAATAGCAGAAAATTTCCTTCGTGATGGCACGTACACGATAATTCAGGCATTCCTTTCATTTTCTTCCCCCAACGATGAATAAAATCGATCTTGTCTAGGCGCACGTGCTTCCATGTTTATAAGAAAAATCTACGATACGCCTTTACTGCCTATATTTACTTCTTTATACGGTAGTCATTGTACAACAATTTTACTAAGATCGCAGAATTCCCTGATGCATCAAAACTGATTTTCTGGATAATGATGAAGATAAGCGAATGATGCTAAGATTGTATTTTCTTATTTGAAAAATTCCTCTATCTGAAATTTATACGTTTAGATATGATTTTAATATGATTTACTGTTACTTCTTTTATGATAGAAAACAATAATGTCGGAGGCATAATCAGAAACCTCGATCGAAAATTTTTAATCTATTTAAGAGAATATTCGAAATATGTCCGAAGCATATTCGAAATAATGTTCACCCTGGGGTGAAAATTATCATATCTGTATACTACTGTTTGATATTGTAAAACGTTTTTAATTTTAAATATATATTAAGAATAAATTCTCTATACATTTAGAGGGAAGTTTGATACAAAAAATAATTCATAAATATTACTATGGAAAAATATTTATAGAGAATTTTTATCATAATTTTATGCAAAACTTGTAACAATAATATCTTGAACATGAGTTCTGAATTTTAATAAAAATCCAAAAATTACTTCAATATATAATATAATGAATTTCTTTGTATCTTCTGAAGAAGTTCAATAACGATAGTACAATAAATAAATAAACAAGAAAAAGATAACACAAATAGTAAGATAATATAAAATTTAAAAAATCTAATTCTTTAATAAAAATGAATTAGGAAAGTACTTTAATCGAAATCTCGTATTCTCTGAAATGTAATTATTAATTAGCAATTATTTGTACAAGCTTTACAGTATTATTATTCATACTTGTATTGTATTAGTAACTTTATTTGCTTAACTATTTAAATTTAAACATATGTTCATAATCATAAATTATTGAATTGATATTATTGTTTAAAGGAGGTATCCTTACAAATTTTTTGTGTTACAATAAAAACAGTTTAATATATCAATAGCTTGATCTATTCGAAGTTGAATATCCTATTATTGAATAGCAATACGCTTAGAATATTGGCTTAAAAATAAATAAAAATGTAACTTGATTGGGTGCAATCAAGCTTGCAATCACTGATCGAAAACTAAAGAATATAAAGTATATATGAGGAATAAATATATTTCGTTGCGTAATTATTCAATAAAGCTCCTTTATTAACAACTATAAACTTATAATTGTATTTTAAATAAACGGTAAAGTCACACAATGATAATCGTTTATAAAAATATTATTAACTTGTATAAGATAAAATAATTTAATTTAAATGTACACAGATATGTAATATCATTTTATTAAAAAAAAAAAAATAATAAAAAAATAAAATCAATAATTCAAATATCGACGTTGTTTATAAAAGAAAATGAAATATTATTATAAAATAGATGGATATTGATTAACCAATCTATTTTATTCATATCAAATGCACGTAAAATATAAAGAAATTTTATAAAATAAATTTTTAAATACATATCGACCGATATGCGTCTCGGCATAATTAAAATCAATCATCTTTATTTGATTAAAACGTTATCAATAATTCAGTGTTCAACATTTTTCGCAAAAAGAATAAAAATCACATTTTGAATAAAATGTTATATAATTGTTTAATATAAAAACTGCATGTTTATATTGTAAATTCTTATTAAATGTATGAATTAATAAAAACTATTACGTTGATTCATTTATAATATGTAATTGTAAAAATTGATAAAAATGTTTCAGGTTATGTGTATGCAGTATTGGCCGGCCAGTAAAGATAAAGACGAGGACTATGGAGGAATTGGTGTCTCTGTTTTAAAAGAGGAGGAACTTGCCAATTTTCACATACGGACAATAAAGCTCTACAAGAAGAGCGAGAAGGATGTAAGGCTTATAATTCTTCTTCTTAGATTTATTAGAAATTATTTATAGTGATTTGAAATCTAGCTAGGCTGTTTAAAAATGAAAAAAAAAGACACAAATTATGAAATGCGATTCGATTATTCGCATATAACATAGGTATTTTTGTTTAATTTTTTATTTATTTATTTTTGTTGTTATTGTTGTTGTTGTTATAATTATATACTCGATTAATGCGTCGATTAGACTGCAGTGAAATTAGTTTTTCGGATATTTTCATTATTAGAAGTTTTTATTATGGTACTGAAACTTATGTAATATCAGATATGCGATAATTTTCAATGAATGAAAATTACTTAGTAAATATATGTAATATGATATAATCGAGTATTAACAACTACATTAAATTTCTGGATTACTGATTGACTTACTTATACTTACGTATACTATAATCAAACGTTGACTGTAATAAGCATCTATTAATGCGTAGGAAATTGAGAAAGCAACTAAATACACTACCTACGAAATATTTCACTGACACAGGGTAATTCAAGCTTATTAAATGAATACGTAGAATTCCACGTTATTTAGGGCAAATTAAAACATTAACTCTATATTGGTGCATTTGAAATGTAATGCTGCCACTTAACCAAGAAAACGAATGATAAGCAACCTTTTTTTCTTTTTTTTTTTTTTTTTTTTTTTTTTTTTTTTT